ACAAAAGATTACATTTATACTAAAATAGTACCTGACTCAAAGAAGATTCAATCAGTATGTGCTCCAGTATAATGGATATAGACAATAATATTGTCTATAATGATGTAATGTGGTAAATATTGCTTCAATGGCAGTCATACTGCAATATAGAAATTTTATCAAAGTAACATGCTGTACACCTTAAATTTAGAAAATGTGACGTCAGATTTGTCAGATAAATAAATAAAATCAGTATGTACTCAGTAAGTACTTCTTTACTGCGAACAGTCTTCCCTTCTTCCAAGGAGCTCACAATCCATGAGGCGCATGACACTGTTTTTGTATGATATGCAAAAACCTTGGAATGTAATGAGATGTCACATATACAGTACTGTAACAAGTAATAAGAAACTACCCGGTGATTAGCAAATAAGACTTTTTAATTTTATCATTTATACCTTAATCATTATTTTTCGGATAAACGCCTTTAAAAACAGTAAGAAATGAATATGGAGCAAATATGCTAGAATTTCCCATTTTAGAAATGGGCCAGCCAGAAGTTGCCATTTGATTAGGTTGTTCTGTTGTAAGTTTTAAGAAGTATGCATATTTATGCTCCTTGCCATAAAGAATGTGCTCAGATGCCACACAGATTATATGCCATTGACACTGTGAAACCAGACATGGCTTAGGGCCTTTGCACGGTATTATAGCCTTTGGAACTGTCTTTTTCTACAGAATCCTTCTAATCTTCATCCTCTCTACAGTAATGGTTCTCATCCTGTTTTAATTTTTAAATTCCTTCAGTCAACCATCACTTATTAGATGCTTACTATAAGGAAAGCATTAACTATAATATGTTAGTCTGTAAGTTAATTACAATGTGGAAAATCATATATGACCTTACAGGTGGTTTCAATAGAGGCATACCATTTATCATGTTTGCCAAGTTAACGAAAATAGTTAATCAATCTTTGTAGTGTCTCTCTGCCCTGCACGATAGTGAATGAGACAAAAACAGATTGAGAAGCACTTTCAGCAGTCAGACGTCTTAATGTTATGCCACAGAGCCTGAGGGGAGCCTCGCCCCTGACAGACCCTTTATAAGTCTTTATTCTGTTCCATCCTTAAGTCTCAAGTATCTCTGACATTTAACTGGGTACTAAATGAAAAAGCAAGGGTGATGGTTGGAACTGGAGAATTTCAGAATAGGCCTAAGTTAAAAGCTATCCAAAAAGTAAAACATCTAAACTCACACATCTGGAACATGAAATTAAAATTATTAAGAGGTTATTGTCTGGGAAGGGGATGCAGAGGACATGCAGTTATAAATTACAATTGTACCATTATGCTTCTTAATCTAGCATGAGATTTTGAATTGTTAAATTTAAGTAAATTACTTTGTTTTACAGGGATGTTTCCCCCCAAAATGGCCTTAAGACATTTTTCTCTCGAGAAAATTATAAAGATCATTCCATGGCTCCAAGTTTAAAAGAACTGTGTGTTTTATCTAACAGGTAATATGTTTGTTTACTTGGTTATTTATTTCCATATTTGACTGTTAATTTTTCTGATAGTTGAAGTTTCACATCTATCTGTCTATATCCACTATTAAACCTTCAAGTTGTAGAAATGCAAAATTAGAAAATAGAAGAACCCAGTATTCAAAGACAGCCATTCTTAGGTATACATATATATCTTCTGAGACCTTTCTCCTCACATGAACTGATGCATATTAAAACAAAAATGGGGTCACGCTATAAATACTGTAAAATACTGTAAACACTGTAGAACTGTTTTGCATTTTGCTTTTTTCATTTTAAATAATATTTGGGATATTTTATTCCCCTATGTATTGCTCAGTCTTCTTAATGATTACACATTGCTTTATTATACAGAAATACTTTTAATTCTTTTAGCTAGCCCTACATTGCAAAATGTTTGTGTTCCTCTTTTTTCTGTCATTTTAAGCAGTAGCATTGATGAACTTCTTGTAATTATTTCTATAGGATAAATTAATAGAAATTGATCAGATTCTGTAAACATTTTGTTTATTTATTTATTTTTTGTTTTTGTTTGTTTGTTTTGTGGTGTTTTTACACCACACTTTTTTAAATTGAGTTATAGTCAGTTTACAAACATTTTATATTTTGATCGATACTGCCAAATTGCCATAGAGTTTCTTCCCTCTCTGGTATGGATTGATACCAGTATTAAGTGATAGTTTTACCTTCTCACTGCTTACCTGCCTGTAACAGCACTTCTTTCCTTTGTGGTTGGCTGTTTCTTCTTTATTGTGAATGAATCTTGAAATTAAGTAATCAGGTTTACTAGAAATGAGTGAAAATATGCCAGATGAGGAATTGCGGTGCTCCCCTAGAGGAGCTCAGTATTTACTTTCATCTTTTCTCCACTCCTTTTGCAATGGAGAGAGCATATTTCCAGGCTTTGCATGAATCCCTCCCGTTTACTTTCTTATGTCTTCTCTCATTTGTACTTAGATGTCTTTAAAGATTTGTGTATGCTTGCTGGGAGGAAATGAGGGACAAAAAAGCTACAAAACATACAGAAAACAGCAAAATGGCATTACTTAGTCTTTCCCTATCAATAATTACTTTAAATGGATTAAACTCTCCAGCCGAAAGGGATATTGGGAGAATTGGTTTAAAAACAAGATTTAGAAAAAAAACTTGACCTTTACTGTACATCCTACTATACTTGCATTCACCGCACACCCCACTCTAATTTGCCTTCTGTGGTCGCTAGTCTACTAAAACTGTTCCTCTCAACATCACCAGTGAGCTCTTGACTATGGAAATATCTCACTCTCCTTGTTTTCTGGATGACTGTGGTATTTTTCAGTGGAATCAATTAATTGCCACCATTGATATTCATTTAGGTTGTTTCCATTCCTTTACTATTACAAACAGTGAGCATCCTTTTTATACATGAGCTCGTATAAGGATAAGTTCCTGTGAAAGGAGGCTGTGTGTGTGTATGTGTGTGTGTGTTTTATCTTTATAGACACTGCCAGATTGCTATTAAAAACACTGAAGAAGCAGGTGCTTTTTGATTCGATCAGATGAATAGATAGGTTCACGTAAAGGCAAGCAGAAGTTGTATTAAAAAGACAGTTTTAAAAAATAAATATTTTAAAGAGGCAAATTCAGGAGCAACATTTACTGCGAAAGGGCATGAGTATGATGTTTTTGCCAATACCAACTACAGAAAGTTAAAACCTCTTATCGATGTGAATCTATGGATAGTTTTCAAAAGCTTTTTCTGTTGCTCAGCTTGTAACAATGTCTTGGGGATAACCAGCTTCTTAAAACTTACTACCAATTAAATAAAGAATTGCCTTTGTTTATCTGAATCAAAGAATGCCTACCAGTTCTAGTGTCCTGGGATTTAGTGTGCATATGTCTTTACCTTTAAAAAAATTTTTTTTAATTTTTCATCATTTTACTAGCTTTTATCTGTCTCACTTTTTTCAAACTAAGAATTTCTAATATTAATCTTATTCATCCTGCTGCTGCTTCTTATTGTAATGTTTTTTCTGAGTCGGGTTCTATTCAGCATATCCCAAGTGTGGGTTGTAGTTTGAAACATGTAAGGGAGAGGATGTCTGCTGGCAGCTGAGTACACCTAATTACTAAAATCTTTTTTTCTTAGAATATTGCCGATTTTTCTTTAGATTTCTATATAGTACAAAATACTTCATTAGTATAATATACATTTTAATATAGAAGCAATAAAGGCACAAGTCACTGATGTATGTTTCTAGTCTTTTTTGCTAACCTGTAGTTTTATTACAGTAAGAACAAATTTTTCAGACTGTATAAAATTACCACTGTTTTCTTAATGGAAAAACTAGGAATAATGTAAATTTTTTATTAGCCCTAATTTTGCATTTTTTGTGTTCTGTAAATAACATATTTGGGAAAATATTGATACTTCTAATTATGCTACTTTAAACAGTATGAGGCTTTTGTTCAATGCTGCTGCTTCCACAATAAGGTCAAAATTTGCCTTTTTGAAAATTATTTTCTGATTGTAGGACATCTGTAATTGTGTTTTAAGCCAACAAAGGGGAAAGTAGCTTCAAATACAAAAAGAAGAGATTTTAATGTGTTTAATACAGAAAAGTAAATCCAATCCAGGAGATACAGGTAGACTTTAGATGGAGGCTCAAATCACCATTTCCAAATGCTACTTAAAGAAGCTACCCAAACCAGAAGACTTAAAGCATAGGAGACTAAAAGTTTTGAATTCTGCCTTTTTTCATAGAAACTTTAATTTTTAGAAGAATGGGTAGTTGACAAAATGAAGGGGGAAACTTCAAACCATCAACTGAAATAAAATATAATGCTATAAAATGTGGGTAGAGAAACCCTGTCAGATGTTTTTTGGCTTGCACCCTGATGAAGATTTTGACAGCACTGCACAGGGAAATGATCTTGATGTGCTGCCATTTCATTCCTTGCTGAATGTAGCCAATTTAAACTGCTAGAATTTCTTGACATTCCTACTTTGGCATATCTGAGTCAGCATCTTGTTGCTGCAGCAGCTTAATTAAATTTGCCAGTTTGTGCCACAAGGACAGACATGTTCTCATATTCAGAGAGACAGCTGTGAAGCAGTATTGTTAAGAGTTGCGGACACAATGCTGTTAGGTTTGAATACCTCTCAAGACATTTTCTAGTGAGAAATCAATTTGCTGTAATACATTTCTCCCAAGATCAGCAGTTAATATTCATTTTGTTAACCTAAAATATGCTTATTTTTATGCAGTTATTGGAGAAACTTTAGTAGCTAAGTATGTCTTCTTTCACTTGTGTTATTTTCAGAGCCGATCTAAGCATCCTTATTTTAATTTCCAAAATTCCTTTCCCATTTACTAACCTGCTCTCTTGATTAGTTTTCCACCTAGAGTTTAGCTCTCAAAGAGTAGTCTTGAATATTTCGCCTTATTTTTGGGTCCTAAGTCTTTTTTTCTAAAGAATTTTGGAATTTTTACCATATTTCTTCTAGAATGGTAAAGTTGATTTAAAACAAATAAGTGGTAGTTTTGGATGAGTTTTAACTCACCTTTTGTCCAGACATGAATCTAGATTGTTATTTCTCAAATTTATCAGGCTGAAACTCTCCTACTCTGCATAACAAATGTTAGTAAGGTATAAGACACCTTGTTTAGTTTGAATTAAAATAGTAGCCACAGATATAACATTTTAAAATAATGTTCTAGATATATAAATCTGAAATAAAAGGAAAATAATTTATATTATGCTATGTACGGTAGTAGATACTGCTGCACTAGAAAATGCAATGAAGTAGTCGCATGCAGTAGCTAAAATGAATAATGCTGGATTTAAGAGAAATAAGGTAAACTGCCATAAGAGAATCATAAGAAAAAAAAAAGAATGAAATGCATTGTTAGGATAGGTAATAACAGACCATACTTAACTTGTATATGATAAGAGAAAGCCTGAAAGGACCTTTGAAAACTGTGTGGGAAACTACCATACATTATAGGAATGTAGTTTTCCTCATCTCTGAATGCCTTTAATTCTTCTCATATTTGGGACAACCCAAATGCCGCCACAGGCTTCCAGAATGCCCTGAGGGGAAATACTGTTATGACTGAAAAACAATGGTCTGAATATTTCTTTCCCTTCCCCTTTCTCCCTCTTAATCTCTGATTTTGCTGCCCTTAGGATTCTTCACCTATTAAATATGTTTGAAACTTGAAATCTCCATAGTTACATTGTATTGATGCACATATTTACTTTTCTTTCTTCCTCATTCGTTTGCCTGATCCACTTGATTGTAAGGTCCTACAGGGTAGAGTGGTATTGAGCTCAGTACTAGTTGTAAGTCTAGTACCCAGCATAGCACTGGCACATGGTAGTCACTCAAAATAATCATTAATGAATGGAGGAATGAAGGATGAATCAATAGACATTCATTCTTTCATTAGTTTTCCTTCCTCTTGGGTTATTGTTCTTGTTACTTATGTAGAACCAAATCAGAGAGAACAGTTACTGTGGTGGAAATTATAGTTGTAAAGACTAAGGAAATATAGTTTAGTGAGTGTGTGTACTTTAAAATTCTCTTATCAAAAATGTATATTACAACAATGAATGGCAGGAATAGAGACAGATTATGAACAAGATAAGCAATTTGTACTTACATACCTTAATTGGGGTAGTAAGGTGTTTTTTTTTAAAACTTGGGGGTAGTGTTTCATAAACAATATGGTAACAGATTCTCTGTTACTAGCTACTCACTAGCTACTCACTACTTCCCTCTAGTGCATTTCATTATCGATATGCCAAGCTTTCTCTTTTATATCCATATGAGACATAAATACATTTCCATATACTCAGCCATGTGCATGAGTGATAGTGGATTATACAACTTTTCTAAAACCACTGTTACTTCCATAAAATATATCACAATGTTAGAATTTCTTTTTAATTCTTGAGATAATTAAAGTGGAGAAAACCAGAAAATTAGAATATCTGTGAATTTGTGAACTGCAGGTTTGTGACCCCATCACATCCTGCCCTCAGTGGCTTTTGTTCACCACGTTAACTGATACATCTTACTGAAGAATTTAAGTATTAAAAAACAACTTGCATTGCAATACAATATAAACACAAAATACCTGCATATATAATTGGCAAGGGTGATTTACCTATCTTAAGTAGAAGGAAAAAACTTCCAAATTGAAAAACTTGTCTAAGGATTATGCCTCTTCCTCTCCATCAGATAATTGAAGGTAGGCTTGTAAAGTGATCCTATTCTGCAGAATACTGAATTTACACCAAATGGCGAAACATCAAAATGCAGGTGGCAGAGTTAGATATAATCCAGAATTTACTGTGTTAATCATTCTGTATTCTCCCTGGTGATTGAGAATCATGAAGTTTCATGATAGTAATCTTGCTGTGAAAAGCACGTATTTGTAAATTGTATTTTTTTTTCCAGACGTGTAGGAGAAAATTTGAATGCCTCAGCAAGTTCTGTAGAAAATGAGCCGGCAGTTAGTTCAGCAACTCAAGCAAAGGAGAAAGTTAAAACCACAGTTGGAATGGTTCTTCTTCCGAAACCAAGAGTTCCTTATCCTCGTTTCTCTCGTTTCTCACAGAGAGAACAAAGGAATTATGTGGATTTGTTGGTTAAATATGCAAAAACTCCTGCAAATTCTAAAGCTGTTGGAATAAATAAAAATGACTATTTGCAGTACTTGGTATGTATTCTATTGTTTGGCTTCAGTTAAAAAAATTTTTTTTAAGTTAGGAAATAATTTAAATTTGCTTTTATGCTTTTAGGTGCAGTCATATTAACAAAAATGGAAAATATAAGGAGTTTAATTAGCAACATTGGTGCTTTAATTCTGTTGTTGATTCTGTTATAGCTCAGGCTTTTTGTTCTGGTTCTGAGTGTATTTCACTCCAGTTCATATTAAGTACTAGCAGTAGAACTTTACATTGCTCATTGAACCAGTTTTAAATTTTTGTTATTACTCTTTGTAGTTTACAAATTCTTCATTATATATGATCCTGTGCTGAACATCTTTGTTGCAAAGTCTTTTTTCATATCTATGATTGTTTCCATGAGATAAATTCATAAAAATATAATTGCCAGATCAAAAACTGTACATGTTTTTAAGGCTGTGATCTGCAGTTACACATGGGTAAGTTGTTCTGCAAAAAGTTTAAACCAATTTGTATGTATCACTCTTGTATGAAAGGTTTTTTAACAATGTCTTTTCTAATACTGAATGTTACCTTTTTTTTTTCCCTTAACGGAGGCACTGGGGATTGAATTCAGGACCTCATGCACGCCAAGCACGCGCTCTACCACTGAGCTATATTCCCCACCTCCAAGAATGAATGTTACCTTTTTTGCCTCTAATTTAATACAGAAAAAATGTTGATCTCTTGTCTTACATTAATTTACAGTGGTTATTAATGAAAATAAGCATTTCCCATGTGTTTATAAGCCATTTCTATTTCTTCTTTTGTAACTTGCCTATTCATGTGTTTGCTTATATTTACATTTAGGTGTTTGTGCTTTTTTATGTTAAGAGCATTTTATAAAATAATCTTATTTCCTAAGCCCATATTGTATTATTAGTCATTAGCTTATCTCTTCTTGTGAAATTAGCTTTTTCTTTGTGATTTGTGTTTTGGATGTGATACTTTGTAAGTCCAAATTATTAGAGTAATGTTTGAGAAGTGATTGTTTGTAACCAACTTCTTATTCCAAGACATGTCTACTTTTTTAAAAATCAGGATATGAAAAAACATGTGAATGAAGAAGTTACAGAATTCCTAAAATTTTTGCAAAATTCTGCAAAGAAATGTGCACAAGATTATAATATGCTTTCTGATGATGCTCGTCTTTTCACAGAGGTAAAAAAAAATCACATTTACTTAAACTGCCAAATAATAGACAATAGCAGCATTAAAAAATTTGTGATGATCCTGCCAAAAGCATGTGGAAATATTAATATTATCAAATTAGAAATTAAATTATATGGAGGTCTTTATTCATTATGTATTTAAATAGTAGTAGTACTGACTCTTCAAAATCATATACTATAGTGTTTTTATATTTTTTTCTTTTAATAATTCAGCCTACTGTAAATGACTTGCATTTACTTGAATGGATGGTTTGATCTGATGCGCTGATTTCCCTTGTGAGAAAATGGAGTTTAAAGAGTTTTCTTGGTCCTTAAAAATCTGAATGGTTCTTCAGAACCTAGTCACATAAATTTGTATTTATTATCTCCGTGGTAGCTCGCCACCACATGATAAATTTCATCAAATAATTCTTGGATACTTAAATTATTCATGCACATTTATTAGCAAAGCGTGTAAATCACTCTACCTTGTAACCGACCATCGTTCAGTGGGCACAGGAGAGATTTAGAATATACTACTTAAATAGTAAGTATTAAGAGTAGAGTAGTGGTAGAATTCATCTATAAACACCAAAACCAGCCTGAATTATTTTTAAGCCTTTAAAACCAGTCACTATACAAAACAGTGTGATACACTTAATAGTATTGAACTCCGCACTTAAAAATGGTTCACTTGGTAGGTTTTATGTGTTTTACCACAACTTAAAAAAAAATGTTTACTATAAATTGGAGGACAGCAGAGGATATTAGTTTTACTTTTTATAAGACACTTTTTAAGGTGAAATTTTGTTGTTAATATGAAACAAATGATTCTTCTAAATAAAAAGAAGAATTTCATTTTTATTTAATCTGAACCTAAGTATGATACACTCAAACGGAGTTTCAGATTTCTCCATATGGGAAGGGAACTGTAGCTGTTCCTACTGTAATAGTGCCTATGAAAGGACCAGAATGATGGTTTTAGAACATAAATCACATCCCCTCATTTTGCTGGTTTCAAATGGCCTCTCATCTTACTCAGAAAGAGACAGTCTTTACAGAGTTCTGCAGTGCCCTACATGATCCTGCCTCCTCACCTGCCATCCCTACCCCCAAGCCAGCTACATCTTCTACACACCTCCTCTCAGTTGTTCCACTCCAGCCTACGGGCCTCTTTTGTTTTTTTGAATACTCCAAGCATGGTCCCACCTTTAGCCCTTCCCATCTTTCTGGCAAGCTGTTCCCCAGATACCTGCATGGATTAGTTCTTTGATTTCTTTAAGTCTCTCTCTGTTCAGATGCCAACTATCAATGAGGATACTCCTAATTATCCTGTAAAAATTAACATCACCCTCAGTGTTCCCTTTACCATGTTTAATTTTTGTTTATTGCCTTTCTCCACAACACCTGTATGTAAGTACTGTTTGTGCACTGTTGTGTTCCCAGTGACTTGAATAATGCGTGGCACACAGTAAGTGCTTAATATAATTACTTGTTAAATGCATATAAAAATGTTTATTAACAGTACGTTATTTGATAGCTAGCAATCAGCATTGTCTGGTTTTTTTAGCCATATTGACTTGGCAGTACACGGCCTCTAGTTACATTTCATATCTCCACCACAAAGACTCACTGATTTTTATTTTATTGTTTAAAAAATTGTATATTATGAAATGTGATGTAACTGTGCAAAAGTATTTAGAGCAAATATATACAGGTTAACCCGTAATTATATAGTGAGCACCTATATGACTCTCTTCCAAGTCAAGAAATAAAACAATACCAGTAACCTAGAAGCCCCTTGTGTGTCCCTCCTAGATAATGACATTCTCCCTTAGTGAAAAGATAATCACTACGCTGAGTTTGATGTTGAAAATTTCCATGCCTTTTAAAAATGTTGAATTTTTTTGGTAGTTCAAGCTTTCTTTTGCTTGTTTTTGAATTTTATGTGAAGAGAATTCTTTTGTTCTTCTATGTGAACAGAATTCTTCCTCCTTTTACTTGGTAGTATGTTTGTGAGATTCATATGTATGTATATGTGTAGTTGTAGTACATTCATTTTCATTTCTGTGTATTTATTACATTATATCAATAAACTGCAACTTATTCTGTTAATCAAAATATGGGCCATTTCCAGTTTGGAGCTTATCCTAAGCAGTGCTCCTATGAAAATTCTCATTCACATCTCCTGGTACACATGAGCACACATTTCTCCTGGGTATATGGCTAGGAATGGAATGGAATTACTGGGCTGTAGAGTCTGCATATTTTCAACTTCAACAGATAACATTAGACTGTTTTTCAAAGTGGTTGTGCCACTTCACGTTCTACCCAACAGTGTTTGAGAATTTTTTACTCCATATCCTCAACAATTGATACTTAACTCATTTTAGTTTTAGCCAGTCTAGAGGATAAGGTGCCATAGATATAATAAGGCTATGAACCTTTTCCTATGCTTTTTGGTCCTTTCTTGTGAATTGACTGTAGATGTCTTGCCTTTTATTCTACTAGATTTTCCATCTTTTGTTACTGATATGTGGGGTATGTGGGGGCGTTGTATATTCTAAACACAAATGTTTTATGGGTTGTACAGTAGTCCCCCCTTAATCTCGGTTTCACTCTCCTGAGTTTCAGTTGTTCATGAATGGAAGATTCCAGAAGGAAATAATTCATAAGTTTTAAATCACACACCATTCTGAGTAGCAAGTCTTCTATCATGAAATTATGAAGAAGGAAAAATAAACTTGTGTTTTGCTGTCACACCTCAAACTGCAAGTTATAGCCATGTCACGTGATAAGTAGTTAGTTAAGACAGGAAAAACATTAAATGAGATATTTTGAGAGAGACCACGTTGACATAACTTTTATTACAGCATATTGCTATAATTGTTCTGTTTTTATTTTTCATTAGTTATTAATCTTTTCTGTGCCTAAATTATAAATTAAACTTTATCATAGGTATGTATCAATAGGAAGTAATACTCGATTTTATCGGTGATTTCAGGCATCCCCTGAGGGTCTTGGAACATATCCCCTATAGATAAGGGGGATTGCTGTATACATTGAAAGTTTTTTGTTTTACTTGACAAAACAATTTCTTTTAACCTGCGGGTTCCCTTTCATCTCTTTTTTTCCCTTAAACTTTATCTCTTCAGAAACTTGGACAATTTGACCTGTAAAGTTTCCTGTAGTCTAGATTTTGATGATTACCTATCCATGGTAGTGTTCAGCATGTTCCTCTTTCCTCTATATTTCTTATACATTGTCAGTGATCAGAATTAGTGTAATCACAGGGATGGAACACATAGATGGTGGTGTATTCTTTAATCAGGTGGCACATAACACCTGATTGTTTCTTTTTTGTGATGTTAGAGCTGTTGATGCTCAATGCCTAGATTCTTTCATTCTCTAGGGCTTGCAAAATTTTAGGATTCTGATTGCATCATTTATTTTTGTTTATTGGTTAGAGTAGCTTTAAGATACAGTTTTCCTCACCTCCTCTTTGGCTTCCCAGTTCGTGTGGCAGAAAACATGCTAGATTCTTGCCCTTCATATACCAGTTTTGAAAAAACGAATAGATTCCTTCTTACTTTACAATGGTGATGGGTATTTTTTAAAAACACTATTATTGAATCATGAAATTAAACATATTAGGAGGGTTTTAGTCCACTACAGTTACCCTCTTAGAAGTTCAAATAATACCAACTTTGCCCAGCGGCAGACTCTTCATATAGGCTTTTGAGTCCCTCATTTGAGGCTCATTTTGTACATTTCCTGTCCCAGCCATGGAATCAGCCATTTTTTGGAGCCTTTATTTCTTTTAGGGAAATGGTATTTTAAGACTATAATCTGGGTAGTGGGGATGCTCAGTGCTCCTGTGTTGATCATTGTTTCTGGAATATTTCAGTAGATGGAGCTAGAAAAAATATGTTTAAATTAAAAATACCATGTGAGTCTCATTTGCTTTATCCCACATTATACTCACTACAACCTCAGAATAACAATACTACCAATCAATAGAATTTCTGAGAACAGTTTGAAATTTTTTCATATGTTCTGCCCGTTCTCCCCTACTTTTTTAAAAA